GCTGGGCAGAGATCCCCTCGTTGGTGATCTCTGCAAAAAGTTCAGTGAACCGAGCGTTGGGAATAATAAAAATAAAATATTACCTCTAATGATGCACGCATAAAATGCAGCCGCAATAAAATATGAAAAGGGCACAAGACGAAGGAAAAGAAGAAGATGCGAGTAAAGAAGATGAGAATAAAACAAAAGTGACTTTTAACAAAAGCCAAAGAGAGCCGAGAAATGAGAAATATCATAAAAGTGCAATTAATCAACAGAAACCGAAGCAGGAGATCGAAAACAGGGACGAAAACGAGGGCGAGGGGAAATGTGGCATGTGGAGACAAAGGCTGACACTTATCGGCTTTATCTGCTTATGTGTGGCATGCCACAAAGAGAACAAAAAGCGAAGAGGAGAGCTCAATCCGACTCGGAGATGCCCTGAACGGGGCCAAGCAGCTGTTCTTCTTCTTCGAGTTGCGGTCGCTAGCTATAAGAAATGTACCTCGATTAACTTGGATGTTTATTGTGCGATCCGTTTTGAAATTTTCTGGAATTAAATAGGGTATACAAAAGTTCGTGTATACCAAAGCGCAAGGGTATATCTTAAGAAATGGGGTTTGTCCGATTCTGGAGAAAATGGTGTGAGGTATCCAAAAAGTGAACGATTCTTAATATGTGTATGTTAAAGAAGAACCTATAAACCAAGCTTGGGCCATATAGCTCTTATAATTCTCGAGTTATGTTTAAGAAACTTAACTCAAAATCGATTTTTATCGATATTACGAAGATGAGAGGAGATATCGAAACATAAATGATAAGTTCTTGCTTTCTATATGATAATATGATCGAAGCTAGCTCGATTCAGCTCTTCAGCCTGATCAGGAATATATATATTCTCTCTCCTTAAAGTCGGAACTGCCTTCTTCTGCCTGTTACATAACGTATCCCAAACCCATTATACCCTTTCCACACATTTTGAATTGGGTTCAGGGTCTAAAAACTTGTAAATAAATATAAAAAAGAATTATAAAAGTATTGAAAAGAAGCTGCTGCTGCCGCTGCTGCATGGGAATTGATTATTTTGCATGCGGATGCCGCCTGTCAATATTTGATTTTTATATATGGCATTGCCTGACTGATCAGCGAGCGGGGAGAGGGGAGAGGGGAAAGGGGCAGAAATGCAGCGATTTTTAATAAATGAAATGTGTAAATAAACGCCTCGAGCAAGAACAACAACAGCAACAAAGAAGAAGCAGAAGAAGGGGGAAGAAGAAGTGGCATAAGAATTGGGTAGGCAAACAGCAGGAAAGCATAAACATGGCCAACACTAATACCAAGGCAAACAAACAAAGACGCAGACGCAAATGCAGACGCAAATGCAGATGCAGATGCATTTCCAAAGAATTTCTAAGCACATAAAAATCCAACAACAAAATCAAAGCCAGCGTCGGTCAGCGTTGAAAAAATATTTAAAAATGCATAAAAACAAAATATTTATTGAAGAAATGAAAGACGGAGCGGGTTAGACGCTAACAAGCCAACGGGAAAGCAACAAGAAAGCGTGCTACACGCAAAGACTGAACGACCAAGAGATACCCTACACTCAAGCATTAATCGATTTTGGAATACATCCTATCTTAACTCTCGTGTTTATTGTGCGATAGTCATGAATCTTTCGGGCTTTTGAGCTGACATTTCAATACGTTTGTATACCAAAAATCAAGGCTTAAGCTCCGAGAATTTTCGACTTACCTCACATAATCCTAGAGATGTGCTTAGTTATCGAACTTAAATACCTAAGAAGTGGAATACCCTTGCTTAGCCTATTTTTAACTACAACTAGCCAAGTTTTGTGTCTCTAGGTCATAAAATCCCAAAAATATGCCTGAAAGAACATTACCGTAAATCGATATTTATCGATTTTGGGAAAATGAAACATGTTCCTAAAGAAGAGACTACAGTTGATCTGGTTTTGGTAAACGAAAAACTACATCCCACGTGCTATCAAAGAAAAATGTGGTTTGGATAAACGATAAAACTACATTAAACATATATATTTTTAGCTCTTTGCCTTAGTAATCGATATTTATCGATTTTGGTTAAATGCGACGTGCTATCGCTAAAAGACTTCAGTTGATTTTCTTTGAAAGACGAGAAACTGTTGTCAAAATTTTAAGCTTTAAGTTCTAAGACTTAGAAATCGATATATATCGATTTTCGGAATATCTGACGTGTTATCGTTGTGAGATTACAGTTGATCTCCCTTGAAAAACGCGTAACTGCATTCAACATTTTCAGTTATTAGCTCTTATTGTTTAGGAAATCGACATTTATCGATTTTGGGAAAATTGACAAAAGTTGATCTACTTTTGATCAAAGCGCAACTTTATTTAAAACATTGAGCTATAAGCTCTTATTCCTTTAGAAATCGATATTTATCGATCTATCGAAATAAGTTGTTCCTTTGAAAAGCGAGCACTCACATTCAAGATTTTTTGTCTGCAGCTCCTCGGGTCTCAGACTGCAATATCCCCTCTCTATTTGCCCCTTTTCAATGGGTACAGGGCATAAAAATATTAAATGAGATAAACAAACGTTTTCGAATTCGAACATATGAGCATGCTAATGCGCGCACAAGAACCCAGTCAAGACGCAGTCTAACCCAGCCTTCGCTTATTTGATTAATGCACTCGAAAGCGACAATAAACAAGAACAAACGAACATAGTTGGCAACTCTGGACGCTGCCAAGTGCCTGGGCCTGGCCCTGGCCCTGGGCTTGGGTCTGGGCCTGGGCCTGGTTCGGGTTCTGGAGTGGGATCTGCGTCGAGTGCCAGATCGTTCAGACAAACAAATATCGCATTCCACTGCACACAAATCGAATGTGAATGCTCAATTGATGTGAGCTGTGAGCGAAGCCGAACGGCTTTTTAACTCTTGCTCGGAGAACTCGGGTTCGTCGACGTCTATTAGATAAATAAATAAAGAAAATTTTTTATTAAAGTGCGAATTCTGCGGTGCGCTTAATGTTGATGGAACGCTAGAACCTGGCAGCTGGGAGCTGGGAGCTAGGAGCGACCATGGCGAACCGTTGACATGTTGCCGTTGCCCCATCGACCATCGACAAGTCCATCAAAACCGGTTGGCGGCGTGGCAACTGTGATTCAACGAGAGCCGCAGCTTCTCGATGCAGCCGATAAAAATCAGTTAGACATGAGTAACAAACCATTCCGAATATTACTTTGCGACAATTTATGCAGCGGAGTCCCCTCCTCTCTTTTAATATGTGATGTTTGTCCATTCATAATATTCCAAATAGAACTTTTGACTAGCATATGAGTCGGCTTATTGAGACGAGCCAAACTGCTCTTTTATAGTGTTGCAAAATGATTGAGAAATTGTTATAAATTGATCCAGAAAATGCTGCTCAATAATCGATTAATTAAAGTCAGGTGTTGTAAAGAACTAGTTCGGTAAATTCTAGTGTTGTTGAACACTGGTTCGTCAAAATTTAGTGTTGTTTAACACTGGCTCGGTAAAATCTTGTCTTGTTTAACACTAATTCGGCGAATTCTAGTGTTGTTTAATACTAGTACGGTTAATGCTAGTGTTGTTTAACACTAGTACGGTAAATTCTAGTGTTTGCGAACACTGGCTTGGTTCTCTTTTAGCTAAATAATAGATTTTTTGTTATGACGTATATTTGGCAACTTTCTTATATGCAATTAAAGATTTTCCCTGTAATTAACTATATAACGACCTAGCTTATAATATTTTTTATATTTATGCTGAGCAAAAACGTTTTTCAACACTGTTTCGGCGTATCTTTGATTACTTTCTGATAAAAATCAAAGATTTAAAAAGCAGATAAGACTTATAACAACCTGGTTTACAGCACATTTAATTAATGTAGCGTCATTAAAAAAAAACAGTGTTGGTTAACCTGCGTAAATAGAAGCATGAATGACTTCAAAAGGTCTCCATAATTCAAATGAAATGAATAAACTTAAATTTAATTATTGCTCGCGAATATGCTTATGTTCTACGAAAACAAATACTGTTGCTCAACACTGGTTTGGTTTATTATTTAGATTATATTTATTGTTATTTCGATTTTTATATAGAATTTTTTAGTGTTACACAAACATATCCTAAGTGTCGCTAGAAAACGATATATGTGACAGTAATGTAAAGTGTAAGCAAAAAGAGTTGCTCAACACTGCATTTGCTTATTTGTAGTACTATAAGTTTTTATCACATAAAAATTAGACATATATAAATAATTAAAAAATTAGCTTTGCATCGAGCTAACCTACAAAGTTTAACACATCGCGTTGCTCAACACTGGCATTGTTTATTTTAAATGCATTCGCTAATTAAATATGACCTTAAGAATATTATTTAAAAGAAGCTCGTTCGACGAAAAGGGCCTGCAGTTAAATGAAAACAAAGTAAATAATGCATACGAATGAATATTCATATTCATAAATAAATGTATTCATATTTAAGATCAATTAGTGTGTGGAGCAAGGAATTCCGAATGGGGGGAACCTACGACAAGGCGAAAAATGTTTAAAATGCCCTCAACGATCGCGAGCGGAAGACGTGGCCCGGCAACAACAATGAGTGGCAGCAGCAGCAGCAGCAGCAGCGGCAGCACGCCGGCGACGACGTGAAGCACGTGAATGCTGTCAATCAAGAGCGCCGCGCAGCAACAACAACAACAGCATTCCACGGTAGCCGCGGTCGTGACGTCACGCGGCGAAATGCCGTCGGCAAAAGGCAGCCGAAACAAAATGAAGATCGCGAAACGTAAATCAAAACAAAACAGAGAGAGTGAGAGAGCAAGAGAGTGACGCGTGAGCGCAAGCACAGCGCGTCTGAGAGCGCGACGCTGCAACTGCGCTGCTGCTGCTGTGCTTAAGAGAGCGCGCAAAGCTGATCGCGCTTGTGAATGAAATGCGCGAAAAAATATTTGAAGAGAATTGAAAGTTTGGAAGAGAGTGTTTGTTGTACTCACCCGCTCCTCTTCGCGTATCATTTCCGCAATGCCCGGCTTGATCTCCATATCGTCCGCCAGCGATGCTGCGCTGCTGCCGGTGGGGGGTCCGCTGAGGTGATGGTGCGGTGGCGGCGGCGGCAGACGCGGCTCGGCTGCAGCTGCGACGCTTAGCTCCATGGCGGCAGCGGCCATGGCGGCGGCAGAGCCGAGCGGAAAGCGCGAATCAGCGGCAGCGGGATGAACGGAAGCGCCGGAAGTGGAAGTGCCGGGCGCATGGCCCAGCCCGTGGTGCGCCTGATGCTGCTGCAGGTGATGCAGATGCTGCTGCTGCTGCTGCTGCTGCTGTTGCTGCTGCTGTTGGTGCTGCTGCTGCGGACTGGGCAGCGACTGCGCGAGCGCGCGTTGGCAGCGACCCGCTGCCGCTGCCGATCCTGCTGGCGCTGGCGTTGTTGCGGGTGAGGGCATGTCCAGGCCATGCAGCGCCGTTTCCAGCGCTGCCGCGGCGGGCGTCAGGCGACGCGGCGTAACGCTGCCGCTGCCCGCCGAGCCTAGCGGCAGCGCCATTTGCTTTGGCGGCGGCGTCAAAATGCCGCAATCGCGCTGTCTCTCTCGCTCCTTTTGCTCCTGCTCCAGACGCTCGGCGGCGATCAGGCTGCTCAGCGGGCTGGCGGGCGCCTGGAATATGGCGTCGGCTGAGGGCCAGCGACGCTTGCGCACATTGCGGCTCTGCTGGCGCTCCAGCGGCGACAGGCGCAGCTCGCCGCAGTCCCAGTCGCCGCTGCGCAGCTTCTTCTCGGGCTGCATAAAGGAGAGCAGCTGCTCTTCGCTGCCCTCGCGTTCTGCCGGCGAATTCTTGGGCGAATGCTGTGCGGTCGGTGTCGAGGAGGCAGTTGCTGCCGCTGCCGCCGCCGCCGCAGCTGCTGCCGCCGTATTGATCTCCTCCATTTGCGTGACATCCGCCAATCCGCGAACCTTGAGCAGCTCGGCGATGCGCAGCAGCGGGCCAATCTGATCCTGGCTAACGTTGATTTCGCCGCGATACATGAACTCGACAATGGCCTTCAGATCGCACCAGCTGACGTCGCGCATGATGACGATTGGGTGCTGGCAGGGGGTCTCGGCGAGCAGAGTCTGGAAGTAGGGGGAGCAGGCGGAGAGGACCATTTTGTGGGCCTTGATCGAGCGGCCGTCGCAGGCGAGGGTCACGTCGACGAAGGATTCGTTTTGCAGCAGCTGATCGAAGATCGTTGTCAGATTTGATTGGTAGTTGTTCCAGCGCAGGCAGAACTGTTGCGGCAGCTGATGCTGCGGCGTCGAACGGGACCCGGGCGATGAGCTGCCGGCGTTGATGTTGACGTCGACATTCGCGTTGGCGTTGGCGTTTGCGTTCGCGTTGGCGTTAGCGTCGGGTGGCGTTGTTAACGGCGGGCTAACGGTCTTTGCTTTATCCTGTTGCGATGTTGGCGAACCGCCGCTGCCGCTGCCACCGCCGCCGCCGCCGCCACTGCGCTGTCGCTGCGCCGCTTGCGCCTGCTCCGTTGCATAGGTTTCGCTGTCCGTTTGCGCAGCCGCTGCGGCGTTGCTGCGATCGCTGCTTTGTCGCGACGTTGGCGTCTCCGTTGACGCCATTTTGTGTGTGCCCAAAAGAGAGCGTGTGCGAATCAAGAGAGAGCGAGAGTGTCTATTGATCGTGCGCGCGTGAGAGCGGCAAATCTTTCATTTGCAAATGTAACGGTATAGGTGTTCGCATGTGTGTGTGAGTGTGTGTGTTAAACACTAGAGCTTGCACGAGACGACGCGTTTATCATGCGCTCGCGTTAAAGTCGCGTTTTAATTAACGTACACGTGAGTGTGCCTGAGTGTGTGAGTGTGTGTGTGTGTGGGATAGAGTGGGTGTATATGTGTGTGTGGCTTACGTTACGTTACGCGCTCCGTGCATTTCAGTTTTAAAATTTATTTTGATTTAATTTTAATTTTTTTTAATTTTCTTAAATTTTTTTTTAAGTTAAAATTTGCTAAATAAATGTTGTTGCTGTTTGGGCAACTTGTGTGTGAGTGTGTGTGTGTGTGTGTGCGTGCTTGTGTGGCGGCTCGTCGTGTGGCGTCTCGTCTCGTTATTTGGCAAACGGAACGTGCCCCCAAAAAAGTCTTTTCAGCACGAGTGTCTGAATTAGACTGAAAACGTTTTGCACATTTTGATACGGAAAAACTCAAAACAAACTTAACACACGGGCAGCAACAGCAGCAGCAGCAGCAGCAGACGACGTCGATTGGGGCTACGACGACGACAACGACGACGACGGCGGAAAACGCAGAGGCGCTGCTTGCCTAGTTGTTGTTGTAGTTGCCGTCGCGTCGCGTTTTGTTGGAGTCGAGAGTTGCGAATGCGAATTCGCTGAGTCGTCGTCGCGACGCCAGCCGCGAGACCCCAAGTCGTAAATAGTGCGCTGCCGACGTCGCAGCCAGCAATTGCAGTTGCATTTTCAAGGCAAAGGAGCGCAGCGACAGCGACGGCAGCGAAAATAGTGCAAAGAGCGTCAAGCAGCGTGCGGCGTGCGGCAAGCGGCGACAATCAAATGCCGGCAAACGTCGAAAATTCCTTTACTCGGCAAAACGAAAAACGAAGCGAAACGAATGCTTGGCGAGGCGAGGCGAAGTACGCTCGGCGCTGCTCGCTCTCCCACACACAGCGACCGCCGCGTGCGCGCAACCCCCAAAAAACAGCGACAGCAGCAGCAGCAGTGGCCGCAGCTGTTGTTGTTGTTGTTGCCGTTAGTTCAAAGGCGCAGAGATGAGACAAACGCGCTGCATTTTCGGCAATGCGTGCGAAGGGGGTCGCCTAATAGTTGAGCACGCCTGTGTGCGTGCGTGTGTGTGTGTGTGTGAGTGAGTGCGTGAGCAAATGCAGCTACAATTAAAAGTTTCTGCGGCGAAAGGCGCATAGGCAACAGTTCGATGATAATACATATATTACAAAAAAATATAATTAAATATTTTAAGAAATAATCTTATCACTAAAATCTATACTTCCAATACATGTTCCCCCTCTCACTCACACACACACACACACGCATGTTTGTCGCGGCGATAAACATAAGAAAAAAGTTGACAGCAGCCGCCGTCGCCGCAGCAGCAAAGATTGTTCATTAATTAGTTCCGTTTGTATTTTCTGCTGCTGCTGCTGCTGCTATTGCTGCCGCTGCCGAAGTTGCTCAATTTTGAGCTGCAGTCGCTGCGCTCTCAGCGGCAGCAGCACACCAATTCGCCGCAATCTTTGAACGTTGCGCTCTTTTGTTTTTAAGAGACGCGCCAACTACTGTGCTGTGCTCTGCTTGCACACACACTTCTCTTTTGCGTGCGGCGCAAAGACACGAGCATTAAGTAGACGACGGCTAGTGCATGTTTGTGGAAGCGAGAGGCAGCGAGTCGGGGGGCGACACAGGTGGCATTGCACCTGCAGTTTGAGCGACGACTTTTTTTGTTGTTGCTTGCTGCTGTTGTTTTTTTTTTCTCGCTCGCTCGTTCGCCTTTTGGAACTGCCCACACTGCGGGGCTGTCACTGGAGACTGGTCACTCCGTGTGCGTGTGTGCGTGTGTGCGCAGGTGTGTGTGTGTGTGTGTGTGTAGGTTTGTATGTGTGTGCGTGTGTCTTGCAATTGTATTCTGATTATTGTTTTTGGCATAAAATGCATAATATAAAGAAAAATACAAATCAAAACCAACCAAAAAAAAAAGAAATTGCCCAAATGCGTGAGCGAGACAAACGATGCGGCTAGCGCGAGCGCCAGAGCGAGACAGCCGGCTGCGGCTCAGCCTCAGCCAGTCATAAATTATGCAAAATTTTTTTTGCGACTAGCAAATGGCGGCTGACTACATTATTATAAATAACAGTGCACAAAATGAGCGAATGACAGAGTGAGAGAGTGAGAGAGAGGAGGGGAGTGGGGAAGAGGGGTGAAAAACAAAAGACGCAGATAAAGACATGAAGTAGAGGCAGCTAAATTAATTGTGCTTAAAATGATCTGAGAATAGATTTTAAAATAGATTTTGGCAAAGATTTCAAGCAGCTGTTTTCATTAATTTTACGACGCGTTCAATTTATTAATTTTAACGGTCGCTTTGCGAATTTTCCCATTATTTATTGCGTTTATTTGTTTTATATTATTAAAATGATTATATCATTTCTTATTCATTCTGGCTTACATTTGTATTATATTAATACAATCAATACTGTTGCAATTTCTTATAAAAACGTTTGTTATTTCTTATTAATTATTGCTTATGTATATTTTTTATAAAAATACATTTGTAATTTCTTCTTAATTGTTGCGTATATTTGTATTATATTATTATATCATTTCTTAATCATTCTTGTTTATATTTTTATATAAATAAACACTTCTGCAATTTCTTATTTATTGTTGTTTATATTTGTAATATATTATTATTATATATTAAAGAGATGTATATTTGTATTTTCTTATCGATAATAGTTTATATTTGTATTTTATTAATACAAAAATAAGTATATAAGAAAGAATAAATTATTTATAATATTTGTATGATATTTATACAAAATACGGATATATTTTCGTATTATTGCTTGTATTATATTATTAATATTAATATTATATATGTATTTGAAGAAAAATAAGATATTTTTATAATATATTTTTCAAAAATAACCTAAGTAAATTCTTATTAATTTTTGCTTGTATTTTTTTTCCTATATTTTATTGACTATTTATGCTTCAAAATTTCGTTTCACTTTCGATGCACAAGCTAGCTTCAATACAAATTTCAAGTACAGACAAAAAGTTATATATAAAGATAAAGTAATGTTTTTAATATGGATTAATTTAATATTTAACTTAAATAAAAAAAAAAATTAATTACAAATGTATATTTAATTTTAATATAATTTAATTTGTATTTATTTTTACTTAGATTTTTAGTTTTACACCAATTTCAGTTTTATTTTTTATTCTAATTCGATTTAAATTTAATTTTATGTTATGTATTTTTCTTTAGTATTAACATTTATTTAAATAAAATAATATAGTATCGCAATAAATATATATTTTTTCTTTTTCTAGATAAAATTCTCGTTTGATCCCAAACATTTTGGCATCTGGAATGCTTTGTAAGTAAACTTAATATGTTAACTGTTTATAGTAATCTATTTAATTATTAAATAATATATTTACTTATAATGCTTAATCATTTGTGCAACCCTTTCGTTGCATTTTATTGTTCTGAAAACATCCTTTTGTTCTCTTCTTTTGCTTTTGCGTGACACTGTGCGTTGCACTTGCAACTTGCAACAAATTTGGTTGCCACACTAAAAACGCAGCCCGCACGCACTTTGTTGCAAATGCAACGGGTCACCAGCTCGTTGTTGTTGTTGTTGGCAATCGCAGAGAAATGTGCAGTTGGGAAAATGCGGAAAATGGCTTTTTTTGGGGGTCGTGAGACACAAAACGCGTTTATACGAAAATTTATGTATTTAACTGTTGACGACGACGACGCTGACGAGCGAAACGATGACGCGGATGCTGGACGCACGACGCATGTGGCAAGGATGCCACGGGAAGAGGAGATAGAGGGGGTGGAGGGGGGGAGGTTGTTGTGTGGCGCGACGAAAGGCAGTTGCGACAAGGCGACAGCCGCTGCTGTTGATGATGATGGCAGCAGCAGCAGCAGGTTCTTGGCAGAGGGTGGGGGGGGGGGGGGGGGGAGGGCAGGCAAAGACGACAAACAGACAACAGCAGGGTGGAGAGGGGGGGGGGGAAGGGGTAGGGTGGTATGGTACAGGGTGTTGCTAGATTTTAGAGGCTTGCGGCACACATGACTGAACGAACACGCAAACAAACAAATAAAATGCGAGTGTGTGTGTGAGTGTGTGTGTGAGTGTGTGCGAGAGTGTGTGTGTGAAGGTGACCAAACTCTAGGGCAGCTGCTTGGGCCAGTGGGCGTGGCATATTATAGGTTTGGTGGCACAGCGTAGAAAAAATGCCGCATATTAAAACGCCAAATAGAAGAGTGCAGCGACGACGACTGCAGCTTAGAGGGGGGCGGCTCAAGCCGCTCAGAGGGGAAGGGGGAGGTGGAGGAAACATAGAACTGGCAAGGGGTTAGGGGGATGCTGCACAAAGTTAGCTTACGCGCACAAAAGCGATGAGCGATGATGCCTCAAATATGCAAAAATGCCTAGCGCAATAAAACGAAAACCAAGCAGATCGAGGCAGGGTTACGATTGCGTCCAGGCGCGGGGCGCTGCCTGGGGGGGGGGGGGGGGCAAAGGGTGTCTGCAGCAATGAAAAAGGGCTTAACGTGTGTGTGTATGTGTGTGCGTGTGTCCAGTTTGTATAAATCCAAACGAAGTTCGAATGCAGGCAAAAGTCCGAACGGAGGCAGCGCTAACGATGCCGCCGCCGCCGCCGGCTGCTGCTGCTGCTGCGTGGGGGGAGGGGCTGGGTCCAGGTAGAGGGGTGCACGTCGTGCACAAGCACAGACAAACAAATAGACAGCCACCCCAACCCCCCACCCCCCCGTTGCCTGCCCGCATTGATGGACAGTTAACGCGGCAAAACGAACGCGGCAAAAGCCGAGTCGAGTCCAGGACGAGAGGCTGCAACTCCTGCCAGCAGTTGGCTTAGACGCAACTGTACTCCAGGCACAGGCACAAATGCTCCAAAGTCCACATCACCTCCCCTCACACACACGCACACACACACACAGAGAGTCAGCCCCAATCGGTCGGTCGCTGTCTCTGCTCATGTCCAGTGCCGCCTGCGCCCCCGGGCCAAAGATTTTCGCGTGCGTTGCAAGTTGCCAGCGCCTGCTGCATGTGTGCCGCATCCCCCCCCCCCCCCCCTGTCTCTGCGTGTGTATTTGTGCAGTTTTTGTAAATTTTGCGCCATTTGATTGCATTGCCTATCCTGCAGCTCCCTGGTCGCCCCCCTGCCCTTGTGGGCCATTGTCGCTTCTTTGGCGGCAGCCTCTCTACTCGCATTTATATACAAATGAACGCCTCCGCAACAGCCTACGCCCCCCGTCTCCGCCCCTCTCTGCTGCCACGCCTATAGCCGTCAAGTGCAGACGGCAGACGCAGGCAAATACATTCTATGTTTTTTCTAATACCCTGTAGCCAGGGCGAGAGAAAATAGTTAGCAAAGGGTGTTAGAGCCTGTAAGAAGTTCGATACATCGATAACTATCGATAGTACATATATATGCCTGATCAGGCTGATCACGAGGAGTTGAGTCATTCGAGTCAATACTTCTCTATGATTCAGTACCTACGAGAACTGAGACTCTTTGTTATTCAGATTCTCGC